CCGCCCCACGGGGCTCGTCTGGGCTCCAGCCGGGACCGGGCCCGTCCCTCCGCGGCCTCTTGCGGAGCGGCTCCCCGGCGGGCGGCGACGCGGCCTCGCTCTCGCTCTCGGCCGCCGAGGGCGAGCCGGGCTGAAGGGCGAGCGGCGCCTCGTCCGCCATCTTCCAACCGCCTCTCTGGCCCGCCTCCCTCACCTCGCTGCTCCGCTCGCGCGACGCGCGGCACTGGCGCCCCCGCGGCTCGGGCTGCGGGAGATTTAAACCCCGTCACGTGACCGCCCGCGCCGCCGCCCCGGGCCGGACCGCAGCGCGCAGGTCACGTGGCGGGCGGGGCGAGGGGCGCGGCCCGCGGGCCTGGCTCGCTGGCGCCCGCCGCGGTGCGGTCGCTGCTTCCCGCACCGGCACCGCCCTGCTTCTCGCGCGGCGGCCGGGGCGCGCAGCGTCGGGCTTGCCTTCCCACGCTCTTGCGCCGCGCCGCCCCCGCGGCTGGAGTTCCCTGGGCGGCGCGGGGAGCAACGGACGGGCCTCCGGGCTCCAGGGAGCGTGAACGCCCTCACCTTGCTCGCAGGCAGAACTGGACCTCCCTGCCTTCGCGTTGGGCTCCCTTCGAGCCCGGGTCCAACCCTGCCTTATTGAGGAAATTAAGCTTCGTTTTCTTTCGCCTTGTGTTCTGAGACACGGTCCCGCAATGTAATTCAGGTTGGCCTCAGAATCACGGCAATCCCCCACCTCGGCCAGCCGAGTGCTGGGTTACAGGTGTGCCACTGTACCCAGCTCAAACTTTCTGACTTCGCCCATGGCACCTCGTTCTGAAACTTGAACCCAGCCCTCACAGCTGCATTGCCAGACTTTTTTTTTTTTTTCATTTAAATTGCTAAATTACCTAAAATTGAATTTCCTTTTGTTATCTTTCTGTCTCCCAGAGTGCTGGGATTAGAGGTGTGTACCGACACACAGGGCAGTTTCTTTCCTCTTTACGATGTTAGTAGCCTGGGCAGGGTGGTGTGCACCTATAATCCCAGCTCGGGGGCTGAAGCCGGAAGATTATGAGGTCAGTCTGAACTCACGAAGTGAAACCCTGCCTCAAATAATTAAAATGATGATATCTGTTTTGCAGGGTTGCAGTGTAACAAAATGAGGCATGTACAATGCTGGGCGCACAGTAGCTCAGAGACTTGATTTCTTTCACGGCGTCAGAGTTCCTTCCTGGTCCTACCCTGGTGTTCCTGGTCCCTGCCCTCCTTTCGAGCCCTAAAGACCCGTGTTAGTGGGTGGTTTTTTGTTTTTGTTTTTGATTAGGAATTGAACACAGCCCCTTGCGCTTTGCCAGGGAAGCGCTTATTCTACCGAGCCATCTCTCCAGTCCCCTGTTAGTGGGTTTCTTTGCAGAGGAATACTCTGTACAGCGTTTTTATCTACCTGCAGGCCTGTCGGAGTTGAGGCTGCCGGTCCCCTCAATCCAACATGGGGCCTGACTGTACCACAGTTTACCTAGGTCACCTTAGACAAGACCTTCAACTCTCTCTTCATCTTCCTAAGATTTGGCAGTGTATCTCTGCCACCCCGTCCATAGCCAAAAGTCTATGCACCTCAAACAGAATTTCCCCTTACAATTGTACTTTCAGTTTGTTTGGTTCATTGGTTGGTTGGATTTTTTGAGACAGGGTCTGGCTTTTCACTTAGGCTGACCTCAAACTCTGGTCTTTCTGAGTGCTGGGATTACAGGTACTCACCATGCCCAGCTTTTTTTTCATTTCTAAAAGTGATTATCAGCCAGGTATGGTATTGCACACATGTAATTACAGCATGTTGGAGGCTGAGGCAGGAGGATTGCCATGAGTTCAAGCTTGGGCTACATAGTTAGACCCTGTTTCATAAAAACAAAACAAAAATAAATAATTCACCTTTCCTCCTAGGAGCCCTGCCCCTTTTTTTGTTCTGTACTTGGATTTGAACCTGAGGCCTTTGCACAATTACCAACCTTGTCTTTTTTTTTTTTTTTTTTTTTTTTTTTTTTTTTTTGGTGGAACCGAGGATTTTACTCAGGTAAGCTAGTCTTTTTAAATATTTATTTATTAAGAGAGGAGTCACTAAATTGTCCAGGTTGTTACTAAATTTCCCAAGCTAAATTTCAATTTCCCAAGAACTTGAAATCTTCCTGCCTCAGCCTTCCAGAGTACTGGGATTACAGATGCATGCCACTATGCCAGAATTCCTAGAAGCCTTAAAATCATTTTTGGAAGGCTTCCTTCCAGTAAAGCCCCTCTTACTGACAGTGTCCAAGCCTCCCAGTCCATTCCTGCTGACTGCTGAGGCTTTTCCCTCCTCTCAGCAGATGGCTTTGGCCCTGCTCACCCTCTACTTTGTTTCCACCTCAACATTTCGGTGGATTTTTTTTTTTTTTTTTTTTTTTTTGCAGAACCAGGGATTGAATTCAGGCCCTTGCGCTTGCCAGGGAAGCACTTATTCTATTGAGCCATCTCCCCAACCCCTCAGTGATGGATTCTTAACTGTGGCACAAGAATGTCATGTAGGTGGGGCTGGTGAGATGGCTCAGTAGAATAACACTTGCCTAGCAAGCACAAGGGTCTGAATTCAATCTCCAGTTCTGCCAAAAAAAGAAAGGAAGTGCTGAGAAGATCCTTAGTTTCGCTGTCAGTGGGCAAGCAGTGCTCCGCTGAGTATCGGGTCTGACCCCAGTCCTAGTCCTGACGGCTCGTTAGTTCAGACTCCTTTCCCAGACTCACCCTCACACTGAGATTAACCTTGTAGTTAGTCTTAACATGAGTGTATGCTAAGTGGTACTTCTCATATCACAGAAATGTGTCTTCAGAGGAGGAAGCACTCTGAAATCCTCATGCTGAAGCTGTGCAGTACAAGAGGCAGGACAGTGTGACTATATTGGACTGTTTGTGAAAACGGGTGTGTCTGTGTGAGATGGCCATGTGTGTGTGTGTGTGTGTGTGTGTGTGTGCACGCGCACACATAAGGAGATGCACACCTGCCACACATTTGCTTTCCTTTGCCTGGGCCTCTGTCCCCAGAGTGAATGTTCCTACTCCTAATTCAGTATGTTATAAATTACATTACTCCTACTTTGTCAACCTTTGTGTGTGTGCACGTGTGGGTGTGTGTAAGGGATGGAACCAGGACTGCACACGTGTAGGTCAAGCACTGTACCACAGAGCCATGCCCCCAACCACTTAATCATTTTTTGAAAAGATGAGGGGCCGGGGAGATGGCTCATAGAATAAATGCTTCCCTGGCAAGTGTAAAGGCCTGAGTTCAATCCTCTGTTCTAAAAAAAAGAAAAAGAAAACATAAGTGCTGCCGCTGCCCCGGGGACCCCAGCACAGTGCTGTCGGAGAAGACCTGCGAGCAGCGCTGCACCTTTGAACAAAGAGTAGAAGACATCTGGCTCATCCGAGAGCAGCATCCCACCAAAATCCCCGTGATCATAGAGCGATACAAGGTCGAGGAGCAGCTGCCAGTCTTGGACAAAACAAAGTTCCTGATCCCCGACCACGTTGACATGAGCGAGCTCATCA